TTGAATATTCACAGTGCTCTGTGTGTGCATTGCGTGACTGAGTCCCCCCGTGTTGTGTTTGTCCTCTGTGCTCCTGCTCCCCTGGCTCAGCTAAGCGTGGAAGGGCTTGGTGAGCCCAGGCCCTGCCCAAGCCTCAGCCTGGGAAAATCTGCTGACTGTCACAGCTTGGCTTTCCTCTCACTCAGCCCCAAGGAGTTCACTTTTTCACGCTCAAATAGTTTTTCTGCTTTCTGTCAAGGGCGTGGGATATGAAAAATGGAGTGATCGTGGCGCTAGGTCCTTGAAGGGTGCAAGCCATGGGGGTGAGGCAGCAGAGGTGGCTGCAGCTCTGTTGCCCAGCTATGAAAAGGGGTTTTCTTGCAAAATTTCCTTTTGCCTCATCTCGTCATCTTGTCTTAAGGAAGTCCCCAGCACTGTGAAGGAGCAGCAGCAGTTTCCTGGAGGCTGGTGAGTCAGCAGGGGCTGCGTGGGCAGGGCAGGGTCAGCGGTGGCGTTGTGCTGGCTGCGGGTGGCCAGGGGAGGTGATTCTCCCTCGTCCACCTCGAGCCACCCTGGGCTGCCCAGGGGTTTGTGCCCACACTGTGGGAGCTGCCGGGCCCTGGGCCTGGCTGCAAGCACGCTGACAAGCAGGAGAGCAAAAAAAAAAAGTGTGACAAAGAGTGTATTTCTTGTCATAATCCTAGAATCCTTGTGTGTCATTTTAGATGGTTTGAGGAGGTGGTTGACTAGTCGTGGAAAAGGAGGTATTTGATCTATTCCTCCTCAAAAGTAATTGCTCAGACTGGCTTTTGTGTTTGGGGGATTGTTTATTTCTTGAGATCCAACAGAAACCTAATCAGACATACTCTGAGATCCATCTTTTGCAGTGCAAAGGAGTTGCACTTCTAGGTACATCTAGGATACATTCTAGGACTTGCACATCTTAGTACATCTTCATCTTAGATCTAGGAATGGGCTGTAGTTCTGTGATGTTGAGGTGAAAAAAGTCCCTCCACCGGATTTTGAATTTGCCTTAAATTCTGGAAAGGCTTAAGGGAAGAGTTCTCATTTAAGCTCTGAAGTATTTTTCATCTTTGCTTTCAAAACTTGTCTCTGGAACTCACCTGCAAAAAACAGGGAAGAGGTCATTAGCTGTGATGCCTTCCATTCCTAAGTGACCCTGCTATTCAAGGCTTCAGGATTCTTCCCACTGAATTAAAAAGCATGGGTGAAGTTGGGTGAAGCTGTGGCAGTATCTGTGGTCATCGTCCTTTAAGTCTTTTCCCAAAGACTTCTGGTTTTGCCTCATTACACTTCTTTTTTCTACTTGGAAGCAGAAGTTTGGAAATTTTAATAGACTTTTTGCTGGTTGTGCTTTGTCTCTGACCAGAAACAAGGCAAGCCTGAGTATTGCAATAAAACCCACTGTGAAAGTGCTTTACATTGGAGATCCTTGAACTTAACACTAGACCTTCTGGTTGTGTCTTGCAGTCACGGAGCTTTGCTGGTCCTGGATTTAGGGGCCTTTTGTGAACTGGCTTCATAATTTATTTATTTGTTTTCTTAATTTGTGGCAGCCTTTTACTTGCAGCAAGGTCTTTCTTAGCTCCCCACAGCTGTTTGTTCTTTGGCATGTCCTGTGCTGCTTCCTTTGTATCGCCTGTTGAGCACACTGGAAATGGATGGAAATTGAAGTATGGAGGAAAAATGATGTTTCTCCACCATGGTGGAGAGGGACTTTGGAAAAGACATTGGAGTGACAGGACAAGGGGGAATGGCTTCCCACTGCCAGAGGTCGGGGAGAGATGGGATATTGGGAAGGAATCATTCCCTGTGGTGCTGGTGAGGCCCTGGCACAACTTTGCTTGCCCCTCCTTGCCTGTCCTTGCCCAGATGATGCTGTTTCAGAGCAGAGAATAGGTGGACAGACACGTGCATCCAGCCTTCCAGGCCAGAAGTACAGGACACACTTTTTGAGTCATGCACCTTCATTCTTTTTGTGAGCTGAAGACAGAGGAGGATGCAGGTGGCGAGTCCCCACCTCCACCTTTACTGTGCCAGCAGCTCTCTGGGCACAGAGAGAAAAGACAACTTTCCCAGAACAATGCCCGGGAAAGGTTGTGAGGAGATCAGAGAAAAGAATGAGAAACAATTCTTACCTTCACTTGCTGCACCTGGTGTTGTGAACATGTGGAATGTGTTATGGAGATTTGTTCACCAAAGGGTGGTTTCTTAATTAGCCAGTGGTGATGATGGTGTTTGGATTCGAGGACCAATCAATTCCACCTGTAGCAGACTAGGGTCTGAAAAAAGCAATGGGTTTCTTAATAAGTTAAATTACCAGCTTTCTGTGAATACATGGAGTCTATCTTGTTTTTTACCTGGCCAGAGGCCCATTGCTGTGACACTTTACTGCTGCTGCCATTCCAAGGACTTTTCCTGTCCCACTTTCAGTTCAGGAACAGAGTGTTGAGGGAGAAGGTGAGGTTGCTCCTCCTCAACTCCTCGTTCCTGTGGTGAAGTGAGAGGGCAGTGGTGCCTTTTGAGATAAAGTGGTCTTTCCATGCATCCCTAAAAAGGGTGACAGGGAAAAGCCACGGTCACTCTACACCTGCAGACTGGGAATTAGGAAAGACATTTCCCTCAAAGAGAGGAAAAATGAAAGGAAGCTTCAGCAACCACTTCAGTCATTAGTGTATCTGAAAACCCAGTGTATGTGGAGAAGAAAAACAAACAACCTGTTGAGAATTGGTGATCCTATTCCTTTTCCTGATATGTCACTTTGCAGAGGACCTGCTGTATCTGAGCCCCAGTGCAGCAGGATCTTGCAGGTCCTGTACTAAATGTCTGGCTTCATCACTTGGTGCATCTGATCCCAGTAATTCTGGGGTACAGACAGCATCCAGGAATGCGAGATTATGGGATGGGAGCTGTCTGAAACAAAGGATCTTCCTGCACTTGGAGGTAATTGAAGGGCAGGCAGCAGACCTGGCTGGAGGGGAAAGAGCCAAACAAGGTCAAGGAATTAGCAAGTCCTAGCTCCAGCATGAGGAGAGTTTGATTAATTAAAACGTACAGTGCTGGGGAGGTAACAAACTGCTCCAAGGCTGCGTGATGAAATCCTGCTGTGACCTGTTGAAAACAGACCAGCTGGTTTCCCTCAAGTTTCCAGAATGTGAATACAGGGGTGCTTCATATTCCATGTGCTGCAGGATTACAGAGGGTGGGTGAGCCATCCTGACTCTTGAGAGATTTTTTTGTGCCATCAGTAAGGGCATGGCTGAGTCTTTTGGTGTTGTTTCCAGGGCTATACCCAGTCCAGGGAGTTAAAGTCTTTGGTCTCCAGGGCAGCTGCCACTAGTGCACTCTACCTTGGCCTCAATCAGCAAAACATCCTTCTGGGAGAGAGATTATTTTAGAGGCTGCAGAAATCTGTTTCCTCCAGGAAAAGGAGGGACTGTTTTGCTGAGACTATGTACATTTGTGCCTGCCTTGGTGGTTAATGAGAATGCAAAGGATGAGTTTTTCTCAGGAAAACAAACAAACAAACAAACCAAACAACAACAAAAAACACCAAAACCGTGTGGTGATCTGATTCCTGCTAATGCAGCCTTGGGCGGGATGTAGTGTGAGCTTGGCATTCTGCAAAGACACTGATGCAGGTCTACAGACACCAGCCTTTCAGCTCAGCTCCTGTGGTGCCTTATTAGCAAGGGAGCAATACAGTGAATTTTGTCTTCTCTTGAATGCCTAGATTAGGTAATAGTTTCAGATTCAGCATTTTTTCCATCTAGTTCTTTGCACGCTGCAGCCATTATTTCTAAAATCACTATGAGAAAACAATCCATGATTAGTTTCCAGGTCAGAGGCTTAATAAACAGCTGCTAATCACTTTTCCTTCCTGCATTTCAGGCGGCAGCTGCGGGCCTCAGCTATGTTGGGGCGTATGTCATCAACACCTACAAGAGCTACGACAACTTTCTGCAGGACAAGTACGCCCTGCTGCCGGCCGTGATCATAATTTGCGTGGCCGTGGTGATGTTCATCATCGGGCTGATCGGCTGCTGCGCCACCTTCCGCGAGTCCCGGGTCGGGCTGGGGCTGGTGAGTGTCGCCGCCGTGTCGCTGCCACATTCCTGGGTGTCGCCTGCCTCCCGCTGGCAGGGGAGGCGCTCGGCTGGACCTCGGGAGGTGAAGGAAGGAAAGGTCGTGGTGATAGCGCTGCCGAAGCGCTGCTTGTTTGTGCCAGTCACCTGCAGCTGGGATGCTCTCGTCCGCCTCGGCGGGCTCAGGGAAGATGAGTGTGGGAGCAGCAAGTTTTGGGGAGCGAGGTGGTGAAGGAGCAGGAGGAATTACGAGTTTCTAAGCAAGCAAACCAGATGTGCATCAGCTTTTCTGCTGACTTTGGTCCTCATGCCTTGACTGCTCACAGAATTACTTTTAAAAATCCAGAAAGGTTCACTTAGAGTAGCTTCACGGCCCAGGTCATGCCCTGAAGGCAGTGTGAGCCCATCAAGCAGTGCACGGTGTGCCTGACTCAGCTGCTGGTTTATCTGTGCGCTCTCCCCTTTGACACCCACCTTGTGAAGTGTTCCACAGGCTCTTCACACAGCTCACGCCTGCTCAGGATCAGGCACAGAGCCCATGGAGCCGCAGTCATCGTCCCAGCCACGCACAACAGTCCCTGAAACGTTTGGGTTGGATGGGACCTTAAAGCTCATCCAGTTCCAACCCCTTTTCCTGGGCAGGGACAGCTTACACTAGACCAGCCAATACAACCAGGTTGCACCAAGCTCTGTCCAGCCTGGCCTTGAACAATTCCAGGGGTGAGGCAGCCACAGCTTCTTCTATTCTAAATTATCTTTTGGGAACTGTTTTGATTGGAGCGGCAACAAGAAGTAACGATCACCTACTGCTGTAAATTAATGTGAAGTGTGTTGTGCAGTTGAATTCAAGTGCTGTGGGATTCCCTCTTACTGTCTCTCTTTTTTTATTTTCAGTTCTTGGCCATTATCCTGGTTATCTTCATTGCAGAAGTGTCCGCTTTTGTCTTGGGATTTGTTTACAGGGAAAAGGTAAGTTAAGAATTAGCATCTCTGCCCCAACATAAAAGTAAACAACAGATTTCACATTGTTTGGTCATTCCAATTTATCTGTTTTTTTTTTTTTTTTTTTACTTCATCCCCTGTCCTGCAACCTGCAGAGCAAATGGGCATGGGGATGTCTTTGCTGGGAACACAGTGAATATATAAAGTACCTGGCAGATATCACAACAATCTCTGAGTTGGAATAAACAGTTGTTGATGCTCCCAAAGGAGGGCTTTTCCATCAAGGGTGACAAGCTTCTACCCAGGAACATGATTCCCGCTAAGTGCCACCTGAATTTTGTCTAAAACACTGCTTGATTTTTCTTATTTCTAATTTTCCCCCCACCTTATTTGGGATACAGATATTTTGCAGTTTCCACCAGATAAAATTTTCAGCTCTCACATTAAAACCATCTGCATTGTTTTTCTCTGTCTAAACAGGTAAAAACTGATGTGCAAGGTACAATGCACTCCGTCTTTGAGAAGTATGATGGCAAAAACCCGGAGTCTACAGTTGTGGATTACTTGCAAGAACAGGTAAGAAAATATTTAAGCATTGTTTGGAAAAGAACAGTTGGGTCCTAAACAAGGAATTTAGGCTGGGAAAGGAGGGGAGAGGATGAGTGGGGCAGTGTCCTGGAACTTGGCTCTGTGTTTAGCATCCAGCTCTCCAAGGCAGCTGAGGGTGCTCCTCACTTTGCAGAGCTGGTGTGTTCAGGCTGCAGGTGTGACGTTCGTGTAGGGAGGGATGTGGTTGATGTGAGTGACCTTTGCATCACAGCAAAGCAGTGCACATGAATACCTGCTGCTGAGAACACCACACCGTGAAATAGCCACATGATGAAGGACTCTGTCCTGCAACTTGTCACCTTCCTATTGGAGCTCCCACAAAGAATAAACTAAGAGGGATGTAATAATGTGTGAAGGAGATTTATTACATCTGTGATTGTTTTCCGCTGCTTGTAATCTGCTGCAAAGTACTGGCAGCTCTGGCTATGCTTAAGAGAGGTTTAACTCACCACGAGCATTCTTATATATGAACATATCTTTCATATATATATATAATGTAACTAGTAATACATCTGTATAACATCATGTAACAGTAACTACTGTGTCACCATCCTGTGTTTGGTAGCTTCACTGCTGCGGGGTTAAGAACTACAGTGACTGGACAACCACCCAGTGGTTCAATTCCACTGGGAACAACAGTGTTCCTCTGAGCTGCTGCCAGCAAGAGGCCAAGAACTGCACCGGGCACCTGGATCAGCCTCAGGAACTCAACACCCGGGTGAGGATGAGGGGCTCGGTGTCACAGCTGGGCCATGTCCATTTTCAGCCAGGTGGAACCATGGAGGGAAGCACGCCAGGCAGAATTTAGGGATACAGATGTAGTTGTTTGAACAAATCTGGGGCAGGGGAACAGACTCATCTGGGATTGAGCATGCTGAATCTGGAGGATGATGATGCTCTGGGGGCTGGAGCCCCTCTGCTCTGGAGCCAGCCTGGCCCAGCTGGGGCTGTTCCCCTGCACAAGAGAAGGCTCCAGGGACACCTCAGAGCCCCTGCCAGGGCCTCCAGGGGCTCCAGGAGAGCTGCACAGGGACTGGGGACAAGGCCTGCAGGGACAGCACACAGGCAATGGCTGCCACTGCCACAGGGCAGGCACAGATTTTGGCATCTTGGGCAGGAATTGCTGGCTGGCAGGGTGGGCAGGCCCTGGCACAGGGTGCCCAGAGCAGCTGTGGCTGCCCCTGGATCCCTGGCAGTGCCCAAGGCCAGGCTGGATGGGGCTTGGAGCAGCCTGGGACAGTGGAACGCTCCACCATGGCAGGGGGTGGAGCTGAATGACCTTAAAGTCCCTTCCAACCCAAACTATTCTGTGATTCCATTAACTCCATACCAGGTTCTCCAGTCTGGGGCATAAGCCCCCGAGTTGACTTTTATAGATACTATTGATGGCCACTCTGGCTCTGAGTTTTGGGCTCTTGTTTAAACGACCTGAGCTACAGGAAATTCAGATGCAGCAAGTGTCAGTAAATTGCAGTTTGTCAGTGCCTCTCCTCTGTTACCATAGCATTTTATGAAAAATCCTCTGCTAGGACTTTTCCCCTCCTGAGGAGCTGAGGGCCTCAGGAGAGAAATGTAAACAATAACTACCTGCTGCTGTGGAATGCAACAGGTGCATCTGTGAATGGTGCATGTTGGTTGTTTCTAATTAAGAGCCAATCACATATCGGACTCTGAGAGTCAGAAGATTTCGTTATTCTATTCTATTCCTGTTCTTTGTAGCCTTCTGATGATCTTTTCTCTCTGTTCTTTTAGTATAGTTTTACTGTAGTATTTTAATATAATATATATCATAAGACAATAAATCAGCCTTCTGAAAAAATGGAGTCAAGCCTTGTGTCTCCACACCTGAGGTGTTCGCCTCAACACTCCTCTTGCAGGAAGAAATAAGCCATCAGGTCTGGAAGACAAGAAAGGAGTTCCTCAAACCTGCAGTGCTGATTAGACAGGCCTTACCAGGCCCTGCTTCCTTGGGAGGGCTGGGGGGGAAATAATAAAAACTTCCAGCTGGATGAACACCTTTTAACATGTTTTTACCTCTCTCTTTCATGGCAGGGCTGTGCGCAGGAGCTGGAGTCTGGGCTGCAGAGCGTTATCAGCTATGCCATGCTTGTAATCCTGGGGTTTGCCATCGTAAAGGTAAACACTCCTGTCTCTTCCCTCATGGAAAATACACTTGTTTGCCCTTGGATCTCGGGTCTCCTTCATCTTCACTGTCCTAAAAGCCTACAGCTTTCTTCTGCCTCTGGAGTGGACTCGGTCCTCTGTTCCTCACTTGTGTTTTTCCAATTGTCTCCATTTCATCTGCCTCACAATGATGGGGGGCGGGGGGGATTCAAAAGATAGCAGGGGATTTGGGGTGGAAATTCAGTGTGGAATCCATTTTATCATAGTCACAGAATCCCAGGATGGTTTGGGTGTTAAGGGACCTTAAATCCCATCTCCTTACACCCCCTGCCATGGGCAGGGACACCTTCCACTGTCCCAGGCTGCTCCAAGCCCCATCCAGCCTGGCCTTGGGCACTGCCAGGGATCCAGGGGCGCCCTTCCTTCCCCTTTCCCTCAGCAATCCCGCCTTCCGCCCTTCCTTCCCGTTCTTCTCAGCAATCCCGCCTTCCTTCCCGTTCTTCTTAGCAATCCCGCCTTCCTCCCTTCCTTCCCCTTCCCCTCAGCAATCCCGCCTTCCGCCCTTCCTTCCCCTTCCCCTCAGCAATTCCGCCTTCCACCTTCCTTCCCGTTCCCCTCAGCAATCCCGCCTTCCGCCCTTCCTTCCCGATCCCCTCAGCAATCCCACCTTCCGCCCTTCCTTCCCGTTCCCCTCAGCAATCCCGCCTTCCGCCCTTCCTTCCCGATCCCCTCAGCAATCCCGCCTCCCTTCGCACTCGGCTCTCCTCAGCGACCCGGCCTCCCTTACCGCCTCCCTCAGGGATCCCGCTTTCCCTTCCCGCCCGCTTCCCTGACCGTTCCCCTCAGCAATCCCGCCTTCCTCCTCGCCCGGCTCTACTCAGCGATCCCGCCTTCCGCCCTTCCTTGCAGCTGCCCTCAGTGATCCCGCCTCTCGTCGCCGCTCCTGGCCTTCCTGCCCTGCTTCCCTCAGAATCCCCCACCTTCCGCCCTTCCCTTCCCTTCCCTTCCCTTCCCTTCCCTTCCCTTCCCTTCCCTTCCCTTCCCTCTCGTCCCTCCCGCTGTCCTGTAGGACTTTCAGGTTTCTTCTCGCCTTTTGTAAACGTAACTCATGTGAAATTACTTGTACGAGAGGAATTTGCCTAGTGAAGGAAAGAATCTATTTCAAATCGTACGTTAAGATTACATCACCCAAATAAATGTGTATTAGGTGGCCGGAGGATATGCAGGAAGAGGGCGTATTCATGTGAATTTCACTCTATAACAGATATAACTTTTTACCCCTTGGCAAGCTGATTTGTGGGAACGTCCTCCTCGCACGCTGCGCTGAATAAACAATGTCTTGTTTCTAAGGTGAACTCTAAGGTATCTGTGTTCACAGAGCTCCTAAAATCAACAACACGCTCCCGCTCCCCTCAGAGCTCCCGCCTCACGTCCTTGCTCCTAGTGCCTTCCAGACCCACAGAATTACAGTCAAAGCTACCTCCGAGGTCGTGCCCAACCTTTTGTCACCCAGACCACAGCACCATGTCCAGGCGCTCCTTGGACACCTCCAGGGACGAGGACTCCAAACCTCCCTGGGCAGCCCCTTCCAATGCCAGAACGCCCTTTCCACGAAGAAATTCCTCCCGAAGCCAACCTGAGCCTCCCATGGCGCAGCTTGAGACCATATCCCCTTGTCCTAGCACTGGCTGCCTGGGAGAAGAGACCGACCCTCACCTGCCCCACAACCCCCGTTAATGCCCGGCATTCCGCCCAGCGCTCCCGCCTCCCCGCCCCGCTTTCCCTCAGCGCGGCGCCCGCTCCGCCCTTTCCGCCCGCCCGGGCGCTCCCCTCAGTGCGCATGCGCCCTCCCCGCCCTCCCTAACGCCCGCCGGAGCGCGGCGGATTCGAACCGGGGCTGGAACCGGGGCTGGAACCGGGCCGGGGCAGCCCTCTTCCCCCAGCCGAGCATCTTCCTTCTCCTGAGAGAGTGGGACCGGGACGAAGGCCGGGAAGCAGTGGCGCTGGGCCTGGTAAAACCTGAGGAGAAACGGGCGCTGCCGCCGGGCGCTGGGGTGACCTCGATCCCCTCAGGATATCCCGATCCGCCTCGAGTGTCCTGGTTACACGCAGGTACGGAGGATGGGCAAGGCGGCAGGTCTCTAAGAACGGATTTAATAAGGGCTGTAGTTGGTAGCATTTTAAGCCAAAAGCGAAATGAAGACTTTTTAGAAGTTTCTAAGTGTGAGCCGCCGGAGGGAGCTGTGTGAGCGCTCGGTGCTGGGCCACAGTGTCAACCACATTGTATAACTTTTTATTTTAATCAATTCCTGTCTATAATAGGGTTAATAACTCTATTATTGTACACATATTGTGTATTACTATACATATATAATATATACATATATTATTATATAATAATTGATATATAATGCTGGTTTTGATACCTCCACACTTCACTAATAACTCTGCTAACATTTTTTTTTTATTGCTTAATTATATTTTAAAAAAAACACACCTCTTTAAACATGAATCAGTCATCTCATGTAGTCTCCTTGAGTCTTCTAAAACTGCCTTATATAAACCAGGTATTTCTTGGCTTTTGCAGTAAATTCCAACTCCTTTTTTACTGCACACTTCAATGTAGTAAGGATGCTCCCAGTCTTGCTGCACTGATATCACACTGCATTTATCTCCAAAGTTCTGGGAAACTTATTGCCTTGTCCAGTGCCACTTTACTCTTCCTTTCCTGCCTTCAGTTTAGTCAGATAAAGGATAATTACTTCATTTACTGTTTCATTTATGTTCCCTTTGCTTCTTTGACAGATCAGGGTCCTTCTAAATATTCTGCTTTTGTAGGCAATGTTTGCAACTCAGGTCTTTGTTAAATTCCTGCCTTCATTTTTGTTCCCCCTCAGTGTGATGATGAAGGATATGGCATCCTCAAGACTGGAAGATTTATGCCTCCACATCAATATGAAGATTTCAAATGTTAAAAAGTGTCTCCTATTGAGAGACTTAGGTAAACAAGAGCAACAGTGAAGTTTGGTTTGCACTTCACTCCAGGAAAGACACTGAAGGGCTGGAGCCAGGAAGGGGCTGGAGCCCCAGGAGAGGCTGAGGGAGCTGGGAAGGGGCTGGAGCCCCAGGAGAGGCTGAGGGAGCTGGGAAGGGGCTGAGCCTGGAGAAAAGGAGGCTCAGGGGGGCCCTTGTGGCTCTGCACAGCTCCTGCCAGGAGGGGACAGCCGGGGGGGTCGGGCTCTGCTCCCAGGGAACAGGGACAGGAGGAGAGGGAACGGCCTCAGGCTGGGCCAGGGCAGGCTCAGGGTGGGTACAGCAGGAATTTCCCCATGGAAAGGTGGTCAGGAACTGGAACTGCCCATGGCAGTGGTGGAATCCCCATCCCTGAAGAGATTTACAAGCTATGTGGCTGTGACACTCAGGACACAGGTTAGTGGTGGTCTTGAGAGTGCTCTGGGAAAATAGCTGAACCTGGTCTTAGAGAGCTTTTCCAAACTAAGTGATTCCATGAACTCTGTTGGCTGTGCGGAGTACAAGGCTGACAGTTTGGCTTGCTGCTTCTCCTGGAGGGATATGGTGGCTGAGGAGCAGGGATTTAGATAATCACTGCTTGTGAAGGCCAGGAATATTGGATTTTGTTTTTTTCTTGGAGACTTTGTAGCTTCATGTTCTCTCTTTTACAGGCGAGGATGATTCCCGCAAGCCTGTGCTCCGTAAAATACAGAAAGAAGTGATCCTTGTACATGATCTCCTGAATGAAATGGAAAGTGAAGTTAAACAGCAAGAAAAACTGAAAGATTCACTCAAAGTAATATTTTTTTTCCTGTTCATAAAATACGGAAAGATTCAAAGCAATCTTTGATACATGTGTCACTTTTTTCCCCTAGATTCTTAGTGATGTTTGGATGCATGTGCTTACAAGAGACACTGGGGCTTGGAACAGGCTTGCTGGTGGTCTGTCAAGCAGTTCTCCAGAACAATGAACATTAAAAATTGTATTTTTCAAGGCTTGTACATAGAATCATAGAATTGTAGAATGGTTTGGATTGGAAAGGACCTTGAAGCTCATCCAGTCCCACCCCCTGCCGTGGGCAGGGACACCTTCCACTGTCCCAGGTTGCTCCAAGCCCCATCCAGCCTGGCCTTGGACACTGCCAGGGATCCAGGGGCAGCCACAGCTGCTCTGGGCACCCTGTGCCAGGGCCTGCCCACCCTCACAGGGAAGAATTTATTCTTAATATCTAATCTAATCTACCTTCCTTCATCCTAAGGACATTAAAATCATGTCTTTGTCGCTGGCCTTGAAAAAGTGTATTTATCATAATAGATACAGCGATCTAAAGAGCAGTTCTACTTACACATCTTTGCAATAGCTGCACAAAGTATTCAATTAGAATATTTGTCTGTTATTCTATGGTGTGTTTGCAGTGCTTTTGTTAAGTCTTTTGTGGAAATGTTGTCTGGGGAATAGAGGTGAGTTTACTATAGTATCTCGTCTCCACCACCACCATTCCCCAACCAGACCTTGCTCAGGGTGTATTGCTAAAGTTCCTTTTGCCTGCTCAAATTTCTCTGACATTCTGAGTGCAAGGACAGATACTCTACTGTTCCCTTTGTGTTTTTACTAGCATTCCTGGGGAAATTATGAGATAAGAAGGTAAGATGATGGGGAGAAAACAGACACCTCTTTAAAAAGCTGAAAATTAATTTAGTATTGCCCTAATTTTACTTGCTTGATGTTAGTAGGATGGGATTTCTGATACAGTCTGCTATTAATTTCAGGAGATGCAGAAGGCTGCTGAGAGAGATCAGAGGGAAGCACAGCACCTCCTTGAACACATTCCACGCTATCTGCCTAAGCCATCCCAGAGCTGGTATGTGCTACCTGAGCCCTAGAGGATTCAGGCTGCTCCTGGCACTGTCCAGCTGCAGCGCTGTACAGCTGTGCTCCTTTCACTCCACACTCACTAGGAAACTCTGGGAGACAAAGTCGTTGTGTCTGTTGATTCTGGAGCTGGCTCTTGTCCAGGCTTGTGCTAGCACCCCAAAAAATCTGTCAGGTCAAGTCTATAAAATCCCAAGTTGTTCCATTGGGAGCTTCCAGGGGTAGGTGTGATGTGGTAGAAGGCAAGTGCTTCTCTGAGTCTGAGCTTCCTTTCCTTTAGAATCACAAACATACTGCACTGCCTGTGAATTAAAGGCTTTGAAACTGCAGTGTCTACTCATTAAAAGGTTAGTGACCCAAATACTGGGTCACTAGAACTGAAGTTCACCACTGCCCTTAAATACAATTAAAACCCAAAAATCCTCCAACTCAGTTGTCTTTCTGTGGGACTTTGAATTGTGTTTGTGGTAGTTTTGTTCTCTATTCCCTACAGCAATCCTGCTAGCTATTACAGCTAGCTGTGACACCCCCTTGCCTTGGAGAGGGCTATGGTAAGAAGCTTTTCAGAGTCAAGTAGCTCAAGTGTGTGAAAATTACAAGTATGTGAATTAACAGCTGTTACTCAGAAGGCTTCTAAGACATTTCAACTCTGAGTTTCTCATTTCTTTCTCCATCCTGTTGGAGATGCTTTTTTTTATGGAGTGTTGTTAGTGTGTCTCGTGCAGGTGGGGTCATTTGCAGAGTCACCCTTATTATCTGGGGATCCCAGAGTTTCTTTCCCACCTCGTAGCTTGTCAGAAGGCAATGCATTAGTGTGAACTCAGTGCTTCCAGTATGTGCCCTGAATCAACCAGCTTTACTTGGTCTGGTTCCTCATGCCAGAGAAGCCTCAGTCTCAAAATATGACAGACATATTCCAGCAAAGTGGAAGGTTAAATGTGTTGAAAGAGGGTTCTAGAAGAGAAAAATTAATGGTGATTTTTGTTGGTGTGTAGCAATGTGGTCATTGGTGTAGGTATTGTATTGAAACTATTCTTAGCTGGTGAAGGGATGACTTGTGCAGAAGCTTTTTACTTATTCTCACTCTTTAGAGATGAACCCCTCAGTTTAGGAAACAGCCTCTCAAAATGTCTGTAGGGGTGACGTATTCCTTTTCAATTTTGATGTTGCTTTTTGTGTGTGTAAGAATTGAAGTTCTACAGAAATTGCCACTTGGGTTCTGCCTTTCCACCATAACTTCCTTTCTTATTGTAGGAAATCCTTTGTCTTAACTTCGTGTTAGATCCTGGAAATTGTTTAGATGTAAATGAGGCTTGTTCAGTGATTGTGCCACCTCTGACACCAAAAGATTCTTTAGGATGTTGATTTCCCTTACAATCCTGTCCTGCTTGTGATTAGGAAGTTAATTGTGATATGACTTTAGCCAGTTCTTCCCTTTCTAGAGAGAGCCACAATATGTAAAACCAACGAAGCTTTTCTGACAATTTTCTACACATTGTGCTCAGCCAGCTCACAGCTGCAGTTCTGTCAGTGTCAGTTTGTTGCTGGTTTTTCTTGAGTAATAATACATTGTATGATGATGCCATTTGTCAAAACACACTTTCTTCTTTTTTCCCCATTTTGTCAGTTCTTGGTGCTCACTGTGTTGTGCAGTGGAGGGTCAAGGAAGTGTAAGAAGGGACATAATTGTTCAAAACCTACTGTATCAGTGTAAATATGTTTTCAGGCCTCTTCCCCAAACCTTCCTCTCCTGGCCTCCTCCCTTTCTGTTCCCAGATGTGTGGGGCTGTAAATATTATTGTGGAGTGATTTTTGTGAGATCATGCAGAACGCAGAGGAGTATTTGAATGCTGGTGAGACAAGCCTTGAAGTCTCTGGGAAAATGAAAACACCCACACAGAGAAACTCAGCGATTCATGGCTCTAGCTATTGTTTCTCTCCTGTGTTGGGTTTTCTATTCTTGTTTACCAGAGGAATCT